AATAAGGTATGAATAATACAGCAATATTAATAAAATGAAGATAGTGGTATGTAGGGGTAAGATCGGTGGAACTTCGGAACTTTACGAGGGGGCTCCGAGTTATCCCCCTGCACTCCCCCTAAGAGGGGATCTTATTCGGAGCGATTAACTATTCATCAAACCTAGCATTATACTTTTATTTCAGGTACGTGACCTCCTGAAACAAGCGCTACAGCTCAAAAGGTAGGCTATCTATCTTGAAAATTACTTTAAAATGGAACGGTATCAAATCAAAAATCTATGAAATAATGCTATAAAGTTAGAATTTTCAGAAATTTTTATTCGTTCATTGTATACACAATAATTTTAGTGGTACTAAAGTGATATCAATTTGAGCATAGACGCAGAGGTGTCACGTTCTGCTTCTCTAGGGCACAGAAATATTGCAGACTAATAAATTACAAAAATATTTTTCATAAAATTCACTACATTGGAACATTGACAATGCTTATTCATTACATAATTACATTGGCTGCGACATGAGCATTATTGATTGCATCAGTTGTCGAGTCGGGACATGTGAGCAGAAATGTAGAAATGTAGCGTGCGGTTGCGTTGCGGCATCGCAGCACCACTGCGAGTTGCAACGCAACCGCACGCACAAAAAGAAATTCAGCACAGCAAATTCACCTAAGCACTGTTAGAAAACGAAACTGATATTTGTATCACCGGTATTGAGGTAGAACAGAAAAAACATCTGTTTCTATTGGATGAAGGCACTGAAGAGTCAAAAAATGCACTAAAAATGCATCGGGAAACCACATTCATTCTTGAGTTGGCCCCGCCCCTCACAAGGGTTCGTGATCTTAGCTCCTTACGAACAAATTCTAAACGCTAACGTTTTGGCACAGGGAATGAATGACTTGAGGGATCATGATACGCTCATATTACTCATATGTCGCTGTCCATGATGTTCTTTATCGGCTGCGGTTGATCCGGCCAGTAGTTCAACGGGGCCGGCGTAACTGTCGTGGTAGCAGCCGGACGCGGCTGTGTCGACGTAACCGGCATTAGGTTAGGTGTGATGACCGGTTGTTGCGCTGAAATGCAATAGGTTAGAGTGCAGACGATGCTATGGCGCCACATGAAGGCAGTGGGTGCGCTTGCTGCGAGGCGGAGCGGTTTTGATGACGTCATTAGCCGTTATTGGTGGAAGTGCGCCAGCAGGTGTGGTCGGAACCACCACCCCACTCCCTTCCACCAATGACGTCCAACCACGTCATCAAAACCGCTCCACCTCAACCAGCGCACCCAGTGCACTTAACGTTACTTACGACGTGGTGAAAGCGAATCGAGTCGCAACGGTGGCTGGGCATCCGGCGAGCGATAGGATGGGATTTCAGGACGAGTGTCTGGAACCGGTCTCACAGTAACTTGTATTGGATCGATATAACGAATCATAAAAATCAATAATCGATCAATAAAATGCTAGTCAGTGAGAATTTTGTCATTGTAAATCCATAACAAAATCAAATTATTCGAATAGTTTAATAAAAACTCACTTGGACTTGGATAGCTCAGTGTGCCGCCATTGTCATAATACACAGAGTTACGTGTAGGATTTGGCTAAATTATTGAAAATAACTCAAAAATTTTCAAAATTAGGCACGGTAGCGTTGTGCCACGGCATAATTTTCGGTTTAATTCTATTCAAATATGGTTCTTTAAAATTCAGTTGAAATTCTAAGAAGTTATACGAAATACTGGAGGTTTTTTCTTTCTCTGCTGCACCTCTACCTCTTAACTTTGTTTTCCTATGACCCTCCCACCCACTCGTATGTCTCTCTCACCGCCTCTACCGCTGATCGCTCTGCCCTTCGTCCCTTTCCTGCTCCTGCCTTTTTTAAGATATCTCAGCTTGGTGAAGCAAGAATGTCTAATCGACATGCATCACGATGGTTGCCTCAAAAAGCAAAACAGTTTGCGGGTGAAACCCGCGGATCGATATCCATGCCGGCTAATCGAGCTTTTCAAAACTTACGGGCACATGAAAAATGGTATCAGACTCAGAGGACTGAAATCATTAAACATTATGAAACATTACTTATACACGCCGGCGATTTTCGTATTCACTGTAATTGACTAGATAGCAAACACAAATTCACTCAAAAGTGAATGAAAGTCAAGAGCGTGGCGCGTCCCGGGAAAGGATTGATCCGTTAGGAATGCTCAGCTTGTTGTGCGGTAACGAGTCTTAGCCGCTGAGGCTTTTCAAGAATATAGGTCGGAAAGCCCGAGCTACTTAGCGTATCTTTTGCGAAAACCTCTCTCCAAGGCTTGCATTTTTTTCCAAGTTCCTATAGAAATTTCGGTTTTTGGTACCCATGGGCACAAACTGAACCTAGACTCACTAGGCCGATATCTCGAGTCGGGTACAAGCCAGCAGCTCTGAGTTTTGACCTCCTGTAACACCGATAGATGAAAACGAGAAGGATCGCTCCGAGCAGAAGTCCCTGAAATCATCTTTAGATTTAGTACCACTGTAGTGAGCAATCTCAGGTCCTCCTACCTCAATGACTGCAAACACGACAGCTTGAGTGTTTTTGTTCACATACGTTGGTGCCTGTCCTGTTTGAAACTGGAGGTAACCTACAGTAACGGTGACATTGATAAGAGTGGGTGCTTTCTGGGTCGTCGGCGCCGCTTGTGTCGTCGATTCGCGAGGTTTCTCAGTCGTTTTTGGCGATTCAGTAGTGGTCCTAAAACGATTGGAAATGCAGTGCGAATATTCCGCAGCACTATATTCGTTCAGTTTCACATGAATGTCCTATCGTGCTCAAAATAATATTATTATCAAAGGTACACCCCAGGACCGTATCGATGTGATGCTTCATACAAAAAGAGAGCATAGTGCGAGGTTGGCCGGCTGGAAAAAAAGGAAAGGATTCGTCAAAATTGTTAGAATCGAGGGCAAGCTCAGTTTTGCGCCAAGGCAGTGAGAGACTGAGCACGGAGGAGAAAGAATGGGCGAGAGAGTACAAGCTATGAGAGAGTACAGACACCAGCATGCTGCGGACGAGGAAAAATGGAAGTCGTCAGAGCGGTTTTTGCAGACTCTAGCGCCTTCGTGCGCTTTAGAGTCGGGAGAACGGGAAATCTGCGCCCTTCGTGAACATCTCTACCCTACCCACCACAGGGATTTGCCCACTTGAATTCATCCCGGGCTCTGCTTCCAAAGAAATGTAGGAGGTGGTCTGCTCTATACTGAACTCGCTACTGTGCGAATGGTGCTAAACATCCTTCTGCTATTCTCATACCACAGCCGAACGTAAGAAACAGAAGAGGGAGCACGACCCTCTCTCCATATTCTCAACTCCCCTCCACATTGCAAAGAGCCGTCTTTTAGCAGTGGAGGAGGGTGGGGTGATGGTGGTGGGGGGAAGGAGGTGACGGGAGGGGAAGGGGCATAAGAAGTCAAAAATGGGTGAAAATTTCACTATCGCCAAAAAATACGGTAACAACGTAATTTGATCCAAGGCTAAAATATTTGCTTCAAAACTTACTGGTTGTCATTTTTCACTGGCAACTCGGAAGGACCTGAAACAAATCAGCATGTCTCACAGGAAATAAGAGCTATCATAGCAATCATTCTGAAAGGAGGGGAGATGGTCTAGGAGCATGGCTAGTGCTTATAAACTCAGATTTTTAATTTCATATTATTTTAAAAATATTTTTTCACAATGAGCAAGACCGCCTATGATTACACTCAGAACGCAAAGGATGGAAGATAGAGCGATGGATGTTGACCAAGGTTCTTCAGATGCGCACTGCCTTCAACTTCCTTTCAAAGTCGCAGCAGCATTTGAAATGCGTGTTGACCTTTACAATGACTTGTAATGATTGGCCGATACGGTAATCAGTGTTTCCAATTCTCCCAGGCAGGCCCCACACTCATACAGGGATACCGGAGAGATGGAAGTCTTCAAAAAATCTACTGCAAGGCGGTTCGTTCCGTGCCACTCACCCAAGTGTAATCGTCCTCCAGACTCCGTAGCCACTTATTTGGGATAGTTCGAAGACAAAAACTAAAAAAAAAAATCTCCCCACCTTTGAGCACTGTAATCTGTGCAATACTAGTAGCAGTAAGCGGTACGTCCAAGACGTATTTGATGGGTAACGATACGCCACATGCAACCAGAGTACCTTCGATTGACCATGTATATATTTGTCGCTCGAGTGGACATGGGTAGCATCTGGGTAACACATAATATCTATTTTTTACTAGTAAGTAACAAAATGTGCGGTGTTAGCGCTAGTAAATAAAAATAGTGAGAAAAACAATAAATAAAGAGTAAAAAAGAATAAAAACTGACGAGCAAACCTATGAGAGTTGTGAAAGTTTTCGCCGCTGATAAACAACCCTTTTGAGTGTCTAAATGACAACGAGCTTCTCACAATCACACCTCAATCCATACACCCAATAGTTTCCAGTAACAAGAGCTCCTCACGAAACGTAAAATTTGGCCTTGAGAGCCGGCGGGATCGATCCCGGGACCTCTCGCACCCTAAGCGAGAATCATACCACTAGACCACTCAGCCACGATGTACGCACGATGTAGTCTCATTTACGTCCCAATTGATACAGCATCCAACATCACGCCGCAATGGCTATTTGCGACTGCGATACCCGTAGCACACTGTCGCAGATAAACAATCGTAAACGCGTACATCGTGGGGGAGTGGTCAACAGATCATACGCACGGTTTCGTTTCGAGTCACGTGGTCGCTTCTCAACCAAAACAACTCATTGAACAACGAGCTCTTGAAAGTTGACCTAATGTAACCCAATAGTTCTAATTCGAATTCCAGAAAATTTTATTCAGATTTTAACACAATCATATTTTGTAAATAAGGATTATCACTTAATGAAAAGGTCTGACTATATCGAGAAATTGAGGGGGGGGGGTAGAGAGAGAAGAGCAACGAAAAAACATAAGAAGAGCTCGCTTCTACTTATAGATGGACATTTTGCAAATATTTTGCTCTGAAAATTTCGTCAGCGGCTGCAACAATTCGACCAATAAATCGCTGACGTCCGGCATGAGCAAAATGCCTCCCCTCCCTCCTGTAAGGCAGGTTTCTCGCATATCTGCATGCTCCTTAATTCGTCTAGCCATAAGTGTCGCATTACTTTTCAACAATTGAATTGGATAGTTTGATACCACTTTTTATCACTTCACTAATCCCACTATGTAATATGGATTACCTAAAACAACAACAAAAATCACCAATGTTTGTTTTAATGTGTTTCACGTGCCGGTGTTAGAGGTGTTAAGGTGCTCAAAAAACGTATAAAATTGGACATAAATGCTGAGATTCTATGATGAGGGGAGTTAGACTTACCCTACTTCAGGAGTGTATGCCTTGAAATTTTTTCACATTTGTTCAAAAGATACACATCGATTATAAAATATCAGTACTAGAGTAAGAATACTATAACAGTTCCAAAAAGTACTAGTATCAAAATATAAATTTCATCAATCCTTGAAGGAAATACCTGAATGATAATGTACATTCCTGAGATCTTTTTCGCTCGACAATGTTTCTCCAGTGCAAGAATAGTTGGTTGTCAACTGTGGACGCTTTCTATCTGGCAAAGGAAGTTCTTCACATGTCATTCAAATTTACATATTTATATGTCTATAGTTTCTGTGGTGAAACTCCAGTTCGGGGGGGGGGCCACTCCATTTTTTCTCCAATACTCAAGATAAGGATTAGAGGGCTCACGACACGTAATCGACTCATTTAAAGTAGACTTCTGATAAATATTGGTGTAATGGGTGAGAAACCCTGAAACGTTTTCACATTTCCGCCTGCCATGACCCAAGGGAACGGTCCTGGACCAGGAGAAAGGACACCTCCGCAAAGGGCTAAGGGTGCAGGAGCTCCAGGGTGGATCACCTGTGCAGAAAAGTGGATGGGATGTGGGCAGGTAGTGTGGAATGTAGGACATCCACCGGTCCTTATCAAAAGTACGCTCGAAATGAGTCGTTCACTTATTATCTTATCCGTAGTGTTCGATAGCCCAAAGAACTGCTCTCTAGTACTACGGATATTATCTTATCCGTAGTGTTCGATAGCCCAAAGAACTGCTCTCTAGTACTACGGATAAGATAGCAATGGAGTGGCCCCCCCCCCCGAACTGGAGTTTCACCGTTTCTGTATATGGGCTTATGCGGCTTATGAGGCTCTAACGTGCACAGGAAAGATAGTGTCCTTCACAGCAGCTTGTCGATCGATTTCTTTAGGTTGGCCACCTCTTTTATTGTAAGTCAAATCTTCCGTGAAATTAAGTGTTCAATCCACAAGCTTCCGTTGCAGGCGTATTTCAACATTCAACGGGATCCTTATTCAATTTTGTATGTGCTGTTCCAATTTTAGTTCGTGAAAAATTCGTGATTGAGAGACTTTCCCTACAATATTATTTCTTAAATTTTCAATAATTTGTAGCCAGCAGTAACTTACCAGTATCTTCTTGATGCCAGTGCATGTTATATCAGTAGTGACATCGGTTTTGAGATTGAAATACTGTACAGCGACAACTTTAGACAGATCAGCTTTGATGGGTAGTATTGCTACGATGAGCACGAGGAGCACCAGATGCCAATGCATCTGAATCAATAGCCACTTAATAAAGCAAGCAGTAATGTTTAATCGTTTATGGTGCTTCTAAAGAAGGATGCTAGTGCAACTGATAACGAAATGATAATCAGTATTGATTGGAGCTTGTTTCAAAGAGGTTTCAAGCTGATCGTAAGCTTAGACCTGGCTAGCATGGAGGTAAATGCAGCAAATAGAACTCTATGAATAATAAAATCGCCTTGAGCGTACATACAGCATTAAAACTCGGAAAAGAAAATAAAAGCAAAAAATGGCCAAACAAGAGTGTAGGGGTTCTGAAGAAATCATAAAGAATAAAATGACTGAGTTTCTCACTTGTGAAATGCACCACGAACTCGGTTTTCCCTCAAAATCGTCGATTTTGCTCTGGACTAAATGACATCGAAGATGCGGGTGGGGAGGGGAGGCGGGAAGGATAGAAGGGCGTTCGTTGACCGGAAATCTCGGACATGCCCTTCGAGTCAACTCGGACGCGACGCAACCACGTTGCACTTTCAAGCTCCACCCACTAAGACTTACGATAATACACAAATTTGATGACTGAACACTCTAATTTTCAGATGGATGTACGCATGGCGAATATGTGACTACACCCGTGATCTCCTCGACTGGAACACCTTCGCGCAAGCGGCACTTTTGAATGCGGATGCTGAACTGGGTTAGTTTTCACGGCTCCTTGTTTATATACCCCTAGGATTCTTTAATTTGATCTGAACAAAAAACAATAGAGTCGTTGAGTTGAGTCGCGGGGCAAAGCAAGAGACGTTGAATTTGGAAGGAGAGAGTCGTATATGGAAGGGGGAGTACTGAGGAGTAAGAGATTCGAATGGGTTTCCAAGCATTCTTCTTTTTTCCAGTTTGACCTAGTTTTTGGTCTATAGGGGAGAATTTTTGAAACATTCACCACTACGGCGACTAGAATAGTTCGGTCAGCAAATGCTTGACAGGTGTTTGAAAGTAATTTTCGGAGCACATTCATTGCATTTCGAGTTACAGCAGGTAAGTTCAAATACATTCAGAGCAAGTAAACATTGAAAAAATGAGTTAGCTATGCGAGAAATGTCAACATAGCTGAACACAATGGAAGTAACTGATAGCTCGATGTTATCACTCCTAAAGGCATTGATCGACCATTGTCAACAGCGGCGCTGATCAGTAAGAGCCGAGAAGTGAGAATTTGCATGTGTTTGCCGCGGGAACAATCGGTTACGAATGAATAATTTATTATAAACATTTTATATTAATGAAATGGAATTGTTTACCTCAGCCCCACATCCTACGAGGTTAACACCATTTTCAGCAGATGAGTTGATGGCAAATCGCACCACTCACGAGCATGAGCTAGCGGCCAAATCTGAGCTTGGATCCCCCTCATCCTAACCCCGCACTTTGGGGATGTTCAATTCGTGCCAGCCCTGTCAGGGAAAAAAGCCACTTCTTCTGGTTGGTCCCGCGAGCCCTTGTGCATATAACAATGAGAAACATCCAAATGCATTCTTCTATTCTGAGCAAACGTCGGATGTGTGGCGCATACCAAATGAGAATTTATTAACGTCAGAAGTTTAGTCGTTTTTAAGGCTATGTATCGCATTCATATGTCCTTCCTGAATTAGTTAGGCTCTTAGTACGGTAAGGGTGCAGCAAGAGTAGAATTGATTAAAACAAATGAATCCAAAAAAAATATTTTTGAAAAGTAAAGCGCAATGAATTACAGCTTGGGCAACCCTTTACGGAATCAACGTTCACTATTGGCAGCGATAAAAAAACGCGTCAGCTATGTGGGAAATGTCAACAAAGTAGAACACAATGGCGTAACGGATAACCCTTTGTTGTCAATTCTGAAGGTATCGATCGCTCAAAGTCAACAGCGATCAGGGGATTGAAATAAAAAATCAATTTTTTGCAGCTCTTTTTTGTAACATTTTTTGGCGCCGCTGTGTATTATTTATACACTTCACGTTGACTGACTGTGAGGACAGCGTGTTATTAGAAAAGGCTAACAAACGCTCGCTCCCTTCCGTTCTTACTTCCAGACGAAAGGGTTGCGCCATGCATTCACAATGACTACGGTATCGCTGACTCAGTTGAAAGTGACAAAAGCAGATCAGAATATTGTTCAGCGAGAAATTGGACCACTTGTGCCAGAAGAAAGCGAGGAGAAAGCCATGAAAGAGATAGAAGCTGTGATGTGATTGTGGCGAAGAGTAGAAAGTTTTTTTCGGCATGCGACGAGGTACTGATAAGGGAAGTGCAATCTGCTGCTCTATTCTCATTCACTGAAGCTGTAGAACGCTTTCCAATTGAGTTGGTAATATTTGAAAATAAAGAATAGACAAGGCAGTAATATAAATGGTTGAAATAGGAACCTCGACAAACAGCACAGCCTTGTTTTCACGCAGATGATTCATCGAGCTGAACATGAATGGTGAATTTGGGAAGGTGACTCATAATGGACCTATTTTGAATACGTGCCATCTGAATTCCATGATAGAAAAGCTACTCATGGTGTCGGCTGAAAAGCTGCCTAACACTTTAACTCTCGGTGATACAAATACTATCGCCATTGTGGCTTTTGTGTAGGCCAATGGGAAGCCAAGCCAGGGTCAACCGTTACGTTGGACCGATATTGGAGCGACGTTGGACCGATGTTCACCGCTCTCCGCGCCGGCATTCACTCTCGCCACCCGCGAGCCGTCTGTGTCTCCGTGCGTACGTTCACTCTCGGCATTACTCTCGTCGTCGCGTTGGACTTTGTCCAACGGACGGTTGACCCTGGTGCAAGGTCACTCCCAAAAACGGATCGAACTAATTTCTTCCGAGATTTTCGTGTAGTTGATAATCGACATTGTAACATGCGGAAAGAGTAGTTCGCGCACTGAATCGCCAGCATGAGGAGCTAGAGATAGGTTCTCCCAGTTCTGTTGCAACGCGACTACCTGCGTAAAGAAACGCTCTTCCACGCCAATCGGTGACGTTTATCGCATGATTTTCCTATGCGATTTATCACTTTCTCCGCTGATATTATAATTGGGCAAGTGGAAGGGAAGAAGGGATAAATAATCTTATTTGTCAGAAATGTACGTTTAGTTTTCATGGACAATTTTGAACGGGCCGCTTAGCGACCTCACGCTGTGTGAGTGACAACGGGGATCAAATCTCATCGCTTGCCAGCAAAAATCGACCACTAGTGCTGACTATTGTGGATGGAAGCGTGCAAGGGATCAGCCCCGCGCCGGCCCCGGCACTGATTGATTCTCTCGTGAACGAGCTGTTCTACGGCGTTTCCGTTGAATGAGTAGGGCGTTGTTGCAAAATTTTGGTTCACACGTTGGCTAAACGTAATCGGCCTTTCGGGAGCTGCTCATAATACCCCGAGTCACAGTCAAAGGTGACCCAAGAAACCTACAAAAGAACGGATGCAGACGAGTTTGATCACCCGAAGTTTCTCGCAGAAACAGCCTAATCCCTGCTAACAAAGGGGCAACCCCAGATAAAGTTGTTTCGAACAATCTATTCTGTGGGTAGGTTAGGTGGCCCAGTGTTATAACATCCATGCTGCCTGCGCGCCTCAAAAGTGCATGAAAAATGTGCAAGGGCTTACAAAGTGAGCTAAAACAACCAATGTGAGTTGATGGACAAGTCATCGCACTCGCCCTCACGCGAAAAGAATTACGACGCAGCGGCTGACTCGAATACGGACGGGTTAGTGAAGTCATGGAGCAAGCAAGTTCAGACAACTCGTCCAACACCTCCCTCCCTTATTTCAAGGGAGACAAGAAATTACTTATCTGAGGACTTTATCGGTGGTTTGTCTTGCTTCTTTTTCCCTTTTCAGTCATTTCGGCATCCATAATTTCACTGTCGACCGCTGCTACCCCCGAACAAATCAATTTGGTCTGGGTTGGCTTGAGCTCAAGCAAATGCCGTTGCGCAGAGCGGCATATTAAAAAGTCCCGTACTTCAAGCGCTATAATCAAGGGTATTGGTTGAGAGCTGTTACAGAGGCTAACCATCGAAAGATAGTGAGACGCGTCGCGCGTCTCGCCCTTGCAATCCCTTTGTCTAACGCAATCAGAGGCTTCTTCTCCCCAATTTGTTTCTCTCTATGGATTACAACACAACATAACTGTAAACGACATGGCTCATGGTATGGTCAGCTATGCTCCAATTCAAATAGTAGAAGCTTTTGAAGCGCAGCGGAATTGGCAGCTCGGTGAATTCTTCGTTTTCAACATATTCTTTTGGACATGTCGATGGAAAAAGATTTGCAGAAGTAAATGCAAAGCTAAAGGGATGAAAAATAGCCAGTTGGAAATGAATGGAGGTATTTTGCATCCAGTACAGAAAAATGACTAGATTCCATTTTCATTACCAACTAGCACACGTCTTTTGATAGGGATTTGTACTATACATCTATTACTTCTGATGGCGTTTTGTCCACGGTGCTTCCAGAGTTTTCATTCAAAGTTGCGGGTGGAGAATGAGCGGCCCGCCGCGCTCGCAAAAATCGCTCGTGTCCCACGTGGCTAAAAAACAACGCAAACGCGCAGCTGACGTAATGTGGGGCATAGTGGGCGAAGCAATTGTCGCCAACCTGAAAGATGAAAATTGGCAACCACCTTCTGAAAACAGGCAGGAGATGGCAAACACACCCAAACAGTGGGCAATACTCCTATTTCCTTAAGTTTAGAAAAAAATGGTGTGATGTTAGCGCTCCTTCTGGATAAGCGCGAGGTTCGCACTCGACTCCTGACTGAGGCAAAGTTCTTTGTCCAATACTCAACATCTGTTGATTTTGTAGCACAAACTGCAACGATTAACGGCAAACGACAAACAACAAGAATCAAAAGCGGTATGAGTTTGTGTTGAGACACATTCAACATAAGTGGGGTATTCGGTAACCCTTAAAATTCCCGAGAAAGATGTGGGAACCCCGGCTGGTAAAGCGTGAAAGATAAGAGCAATGACTAAGTCGATAACATTTGGCTATAGAGCACGCAGAAACATCTGAACTGCAATGACTGTCGCTAAGAAGCACGTCACTGATAAATCCGTCATTGATTAGCAAGAAGAACAGAACAAAACTTCAGAACAAGTCAAATCAGTGACGGATTGAATTCCGAATGTGGCAGAGGTTCAGAGCGAGCTCCCTTAGGTACACAAATAAATCGTAAAATAAGGTGATGCATCAACAAATCAACAGAAAGCGGGAACAGTCAAAGTTTTGGGTAGTCGAGCAGTCTTGCAGAAACCACGTCCACTCTAATAAGAAAAGTTTTGAAATGCCTCTTTTGCATTTTGAGCACTTCATGATTGAGGGTTCACCTACCTCGCTTACAAGGAGAGAATTTCTCCAAGGATCGGACTGCGACCCTCGCTTTTAAATACCCGTAGAACAGTGACTAGATATTTCTGAATGAATAAAAATAATTTGGTAGTTTCAAAATATCATGCCCCGAAATGCGCTTCGGTCAGTCGAAGATCATAAAAGTTACCCCTTGGAGAGCTGAATGCTTGAAGACTCTTTCTCTCTTCGAGCATTAGCTCTTTAAGGAGGTACCTTTCATGATATTCAAGTAACAGATGCATTTTTCGGGGCACGATACTTTGAAACTTCTAAATTATTTTTATTCATTTAGAAACCTCTAGTCACTGTTCTACGGGTATTTAAGGCAAGGGTCACAGTCAGATCCTCGGAGAAATTTTATTCCTGTGAGCGAGGATGTGAACCCTCAATCATGGAGTTATGAGATTGTCGCGACTTGAAAGTGCGCTCATGGAGGGAGCTAATGTTTTTACTGATCGCTGCGACCAAAACTGCCAGCCTTATCAACCACGACAACGTGCCGTTTGCGCCCTCTTGCGACAACGTACTCCTTCGCGCTTTCCGCCTCCTTGTGAGGCTGTGCATTTCAGTCAAACCACGGCTGATTTCACAAGGTTATTTCAGTGTTTTCTATGGTGCTTTTCACTTTTCCCCACCCAACGTTCCTTTTCGCATTTCTTTTCTTATGGCAAAATAACATACCAACCGACCCGCACCTTCAAAAATTGATTTCTCGGGACTATTGGTGTGAAGTGATTGGGATTAACGTGGCCCTACCATACCTAGAGCTACGTGGACACTGACGCCACAAGGCCATTTACGAGCTACTTCTAGCATCCGCCGCTATTTCCAGGGCATGATATTCTGACATGGAAGAGTGATTTATATGAACAACCTTATCGTTAGACCATTCATTTCAGCTCTTCGCATATTCCGCCACATTGGCGATGTTTCCATGGGCCTGGCGTTGGAATCAATAGTTCCAATCGAGGAGAAGACGTTACTAGCGGCGCATGTGTCAATGCTTCTTGGTCGATATGATCAAGCCGAACAGTTGTTCCTCAAAAGTTCGTGCCCGAACGAGGCGCTCGCAGTGGGTCTCTATTCTGACCAATTGGTTCGATTATAGATTGATTAATGATCAATTAGAAATGAGTTGTTTCAGATGCGACGCGACCTCCTGGACTGGTCAAAAGCTTTATCGCTTGCTGAACAGCTTGCTCCATCGGAAATCCCCTATATTTCACGCGAATACGCTCAACAATTAGAGTTCATGTGAGTTTTGCTCAGATGACGCCATTGTCCCAAAAATTGAAGTAATTGACCCGTTTCCAGGGGCGACTATCCCAGTGCTCTAGCACACTACGAGCATGGTATTATCGAGAATCCTGATGAGGAAACAGAACAGGTTTGTATTAAGAATGTTCAAGATTCATAACACCCCCCCTCTCAACTTAGCGCTTCGCATACCAAAGTCAGTAGTCGCGATTTGGTGACGCGGCTATTTCGCCCTACGCGGCGACTATCAGTCGCCTAATCAATATGTATCTAAATTGTATGCGCTTGATGACATAAACATCATTACAAACACTCAATTCCAGTAGTAAAATCGCGAATGATCGAGGTGTGAGGCTTTGTGATAATATGCTTCAAGTGTGATGACCGGCTGCTGTCCACCACCTGGGGGAATATGAAATTTTTGAACAGAAAAATAAACCTACAAATGACGTCATTTCGTTTTCAGATACTCGAACACAACGAGGTTTGTCGATCGGGGCTTGCACGAATGAGCATCCGAACTGGAGACATTAGAAAGTAGGTTGTCGTCTGGAATTAGGATTTAGATGAGGGTCCATTCCAGTTAGGGGGCATCACGATGCAGTTTTGATGTGCGCGAAAAAGAAGCTGGAATGTTCGAATTCATAGAGAAAGAAACTGCACCACGATGCCCCCTCCCCTAACTGGACTAGACCCTTGGATGATTTTCGATTCAACCATCTAGTCATCGTCGGCCAGCTCCAGCATATGCTTGTAGTTACTTTCCCCAGTCTGAAGGTGTAGAAAGGAAGGGGAGTCACTCAGGCTGCGTACCTTTCTTTTGATAAGTCCACCAAGGGGCCTAATTGACAGCACAGGCTCCGGTACCGCTAACGGAAGAATACAAAGCACCCATGTGGAAAGAATTTTGAAAAGAAGGAAAATATTCCGGAGGTGATATCCCGCTCGTGATAATAATGAGGTATAGCACCGATCAGTACTATTAGTACTTCGATTGGGTGAGGTAGCGCGCCTGCCAGTGCGCGTGCGTGCAAAAGCAAGTAACCCTACAGAGATGGTTTTGGCCACGCCCTTCTCTTATTGGATCGACCGCCTCCAAGGTTGCATAACATTCACGTCAACGATTTTTATTTATTACCCTATCGTGATGGTGATACCAGATCGTGGGAACTTCGTCTTGCTTCTAGACGATTTTGAATTAAGTAGGTGTCTACTCTGCGATCACGCGCGACTCTTGAACTTGTTTGGCGAGCTGCCAATCGCATTCGCGAATCGCGCATCGTGTGCGCAATGGGAGAGTATGGCACCTGCCCTACTTTACCGAATTTTCTGAGTAACAGCCGCCATGGAAATTTTTACAGAGGCATCCAATTGGCTCGCGATTTACACGGACGAGTGGTGAAGCGAGACTGCGCGATTATCCTCGAACAATTGAAGGTATCTTTGAGAAAAATTTTCCGCTCTTATCGATTGACCGCAGCCAATTTCTGGTGTTTGTCTACCTTGCCGCCGTGAAATCCTGACGAAATCCATTATTCTAGCAATACGGGGAAGCGGCCGACCTCTACGAAATCGGTCAGTTCTACGATCGTGCAGCAGCAGTGTGTCTGAAGGCAAAAGCATGGTCAGTACTGGAAGGATTGGTATTCCGTACACGTGTCTGTTTCGGACCCATCTCCAGAGAAGTAGTATTTCAGGGGCAAGGTTGGCGAACTTCTACCGAAGGTTAGATCACCAAAGATTCATGCTCAGTACGGGAAGATAATGGAGGCAGAAAAGCGTTACAAAGAGGCCGCCGTGGTAAGAAACAATTGTAACTGGAATAAAAATTAGGATCGGAGGCTTATGGTTAGCACGAGGAATATAGTCTGATGCATACAGGCATACCGAAATGCTCGGGATTATGACAATTTGGTCCGGATGCTTTTGGATCACTTGAACATGGCTGAAGAAGCGGTAAAAGTCGTTCGGGAAAGCCGGAGTGTTGAAGGAGCTAAGCTGGTAGCGAAGTGAGTCCCCACTCACTTCTCACTTACCCTTTTTCACAATTTTTTTTCGCAATTTTGTGTAGCGCTAATTTTGGCCGATTACCCAGATTCTTTTCCCAACTGGGCGATCATGCTTCGGCTATTCGTTTCCTGGTGCTGAGTAATTGCCATCAAGTAAGTTTTTCTTTGAATTTATCGATATAGGTCCATATGATCTTTGCTCACCTTCTCGCTTTATTCCCGAACCAACTATGCTTCGATTCTTACTACCCAACCACTAACCACCTTAGAAAGACTCAGCACTAATTCCAGCTCTTTCAGCGGAACTCTGTCACTCTTCCAGGTTTTTTGGACGTTCCTTTCCTCTATAATGACCATGAAGATTTGGGTATCTCCTATTCTAGGCTGACTTCCAGATTTCTTCCTGACCAGGAAAGGCATTCAACTTCCCATGGAACTTTGAATCAAGACCCAGATATATCGATAGAGCTTCAAACGCTGATTACAAATATGGAAACTAAAACTGCAAAATGAACCTGCCAAGGAAGTTGTGAGCAGTCAAAGTTTCTGGAAGTAAAGCATTACATATAAATCGTGCTAGCTCCGAGCTTCAGAGTCGCCGTGGAGTAGTGGTAGTGCTCTCGCTCTCCAGCCGGTAGGTCACAAGCTCTTCTCTTGGATGCAAATTTTGAGGGGCACTACCGTTTTCCACGACGACTCCGAATACCCGGACGCTAGCACGGTTCATATGTAACGCTTTACTTCAGCCAACTTTGACTGCTCACAACTTCCTTGGCAGGTTCATTTTGCAGTTTTAGTTTCCATATTTGTAATCAGCGTTTGAAGCTCTATCGATATATCTGGGTCTCATCTGAAAGTTCCATGGGAACTTGAATGCCTTCTTCGGTGAGTGGCATTTCACCTGTGAGTTTTGATTCCTTGAAAGACCAAAGTTACTTCCAAAGTGCACCTCTTCCACCGACTACCTTAGCACCTAACTCCACCTCTTCCACTCCATCTTGCTTCTCAGATAGAGTGGAAGAGACGGAGCTAGGTGCTAAGGTAGTCGGTGGAAAAGCTGCACTTTGGAAGTAACTTTGGTCTTTCAAAGAATCAAAACTCACAGGTGGTACGATAAATTGTATGTTGAAGACCGATAAATAAATAAATAAATATGCCCACTATAAAGAGAGGTTACGCCTCTCACCAGACGAAAGGCGGTGCTTTCGGGGCTCTGAGGCGCACCCGTGGAGGAGGCTCAGCAAGACTTAACCGTCTTGGACTCCTTGTCCCTCTGCCCGTCCCCAACTGGCTATATGGCTATTGGTTCGCCGTCGGACTCTTGCCTTTCAAGCAGAAAGACAGAGCAGGGCGTTCATGCTGACGACCCAGTAGTCGTGAGAACAAGGAAATCAAAAAGAGCAAACAAAGATCTCATTTCACGAGTTTGAGGCCGTTTCCTTTAATTTTTTTCCCCTTCACGACTGCTCCTCCAGAACCATGACTTCCGCTTTGAGCTCGAGCAAATCATACCATCCGCCTTGGAATGTTATTGGCCATCCCTTCTGTATCCTTGCTCCTCCTACACTCTCATCTGTATTGCTCTGCATGAGTTCAGTATGCTTTCAAAAAATACGGAGGAGAGCAGGAAGCAATCCTTCCCACTCATGTCATTTCAGGAAGCATTTCAACTCGCCGAAACCACAGATCACATGGCCGAATATGCTGATTCTATAGAAGCTGATGGTGCCACCCAGGATCAAATGGCTCAACTTGCCGAGCATTTCGCTGGCGTTGGTGATGCCCATAACGCAGGACGTTTCTATTTGCGGGCGGGACATTATCGGGCTGTGAGGTTTTGAACTGAATATGCTGTAGTAGCGGAAGGAAGCTCTGTTCTGTGAGCAAAAGCAAAAAGAAAGATGTTAATCAAGATAGCCTTTGATATTTCAATTGAAGGCCCTCGAATATCTCATGGCATGCGGTGAGAACCACGAGTCACTTGTGCTGGCTATCGAGTGTGTGGCAGCGGCCGGAGACAGTAAACTAACAGCCAGACTTACAGATTTCCTCATGGGCGAGGTTGATGAAATACCAAAGGTATGTAAATATGCTATGCAACCCATGTTCTATACTATAGAAACCAATTGCTTGTAACTCACTATACTATAAATTTACTATTTACTGTTATTTTTGTCGTGGTAAGATAACTGAAATAGTATTCGTGAATGTGGCTTTATCTCTACGTATAATATTGAAAGAGATGGGAACGGAGTGAAGATTATTGCTTTTTATGGAGCCGGCAGTTTGCGAGCCACGGTCATGCCCTCTTACTGTCTATATGAGATCAGGCTAGGATAATCTCTCTTCAAGGTGGTCCGTACAATGAACTAGCCCTCCATTAGGAATGAAAGCAGAATTGCAAACTGGTGCTGCAGAGAGGAAAAAATTAAGGATAGCTACCTAGAACCCGCACAAGACCTTGATTTCACCGTTGATTCTTGCCTTGGGCGAGTCACATCAGTGATGCCGTCATCAATGCCAACCCACTGCTCTGCTCTGATGGACAGCAACTGTGGTGGTTAATCGGTGAGTGGATAGAGGGATTTGACGCTCACAGAAACAGGTTAAGCCCTACTAGGTCCCTTCAACCACACCTCCCAACTGCGCAAATGCCATGTTTTGCTCCGCTGTGGCATAGGTTCCTCTTATGCTAGTAGATACATTAGCCTTTCTTCAAAATAGAACTTATCGTGTTACCTGTCCTTGAATGGGCGGAAGTGGTGTAGTGACAACAGCTTACCACGCGAGCGGTCCGGGGATCAAATCCTGGGTCCAACGGCAAATGCTTTATCCTTCATCCTTACCTGACCTGCCTTTGAAAAAAGCGATCACGATAAAAAGGGAGCGCATCGGAAAAGTATTATATGCGTCACACGAATGAGTTACTGGCCAAAAGGGACTTTTACACATTTTCTTGACGGACCTTTTTTTCGCCATTGACGTACCATTTAGCATCCCCACGTCCCCTGTAAAATCATCTGGAAGCTATCATAATCGCTGCCTTCAAGTGGGAACGGCTCAGAGTCAGCAGGCGTAACGCAGCATAACCTGCACAGCGACTAAATGCGTGTAAGTCAGCGAAGATGACTCGCTGCTATCCGGTCGGTGACCTCTGAAAGGCCACCTGCAGTGGTGGCACTTCTATAATAAAAGGAAAGAAACCCGAATCAAAATTAATCAGATCGAAATATGTAGACGAAGCTTAAGTGTGGGTGCTTTATCGGGATTTGAATATTATGACAGCACAAACTAACTCACCGGGCTTTTAAGGATGCGAAATATTTGTTCCGATTGTATGTGGCGCTTGGAATGACTAGAGAAGCAGCAACGACGGCAGTGGTTATCGCACGTCAAGAACAGGAACGCGGATCCTATACAATCGCACGGAATGTCCTTTTAGCCATGTACCAGGTGTGCTTCCTAGAATCAGTTGCACTGAAAATAGTATTCCGAATCGGTGACCCATAGTCAACTAATCCAAACGCACATCTCACATGAAACGTGGGCGAAGTCTGTTGGTGCAGTGCGCTCTCCTCACTGGTGTACGCCTCCTTACAACCAAGTGGAGGTGATGAGTTGACCAATACGAACGATGCGCTACTCCACTTGACTCCGCCTATAGTTTGAGCGTGGGATGGCACTACTCTGAGGGCGCTTTCACAGCCGTTCGTCCGATCGTAGGAAGGAACGATCGCACATCATCAGAAAAGTATCGACTGTCAGATTGGATCGAAAGTGTCGGTCGATCGGACGATCGATACCTATGGGATGCGGTGCGATCTTTATGATCGTACGATCCGACGACCGACTACGGAAGCGCCACGAAATTAGTGTGTATTCGTTCCAGGACCATGCTTATAATTTCAGGAGTTGGTGGCCAAACAGATCAAAGTTCCCTATGATATGCAAAACAGCCTGATGATAATCCATTCGTACCTGATCGTGAAAGTGAGAGTTGTTTCAGTAAATCCGTTTCATCGAATGCTTTTATGCCAATTGCTTCCCGTAGTCAATCAGTCAGCAGATCGAACATCTCTGAACATTTGTTCAGAATAATGGCTTCGAAATTCTAATCCTTCAGAGCCTGCTGAAAAGAAACGAAACGCTGAGGGCAGCTAGGATGTTGATCCGCACAACCGCCAACATCAGTCGATTTCCAGCCCGTGAGTTCCCTTTCTCACCTAAAAAAAAACTACCAAAGTAAAGAACATACTTCATAATTTCCACAGAAAAATTCAAGAAGTGTGTTCGTAGCGACCTCGACTAGAACGGAATAGGACACTGGCGAGAAGCGGCGCCGTCACACCTAAGCATGAAGGATCGAATTTCTGAATGAATCCATCGAGCATTTCACTCAAGCATATCCATATAGGACTGCAAGAATTTGACCAAAGGGATAAATGCACTGACTTCTACATCGGTAGACTCCACTAAATGCTATCTGGACTAGACACGATGTGCAAGCCAGGGCACATATCTAACGCTCAAGAAAACTCTGGCATCAACTAGTCAGTCCTATATGGACATGTTTGAGTGGAATGCTCAGCGGATCCATTCAAGAATTCATTCCCCATGCATGGATCAGACAAGGCCGCCCCTCGTCAATGTCCTATCATGTCAGTTCATCTGCTACCAGTGCTCTCGATGGGAGCAGAATGTGTGGCGTATCCGAAAAAAGAATGATGAAAAGCAAGCACCTCGTCAACTCGAACTTCCCTGATGCAATTTCGAGGTTATATCTAGCAACGAAAGCGGGGCAGGGATAGCCGAGTGGTTAAGAGGTTAGACTCATGTCTGCACCTCTGAAAACCGCGAGTTCGATCCCTGCCGAGGTTAACCATGCCCTTGCAAAAATTGCAAAAATGGTTCTAGTACCAGCGTCAGGCCCAGGTTGACAGGCCGGCTGATGAAGACCCCCGTCACAACAAATATGTCTAAAGTCAAAAAAGGAATCAGTGATAAAGCTAGGACGTCACCCTGTTTCTCTCTCTCAGCGGACCCTGCGACTGCGCAGGATTAACGCTAAGGAGCTGTAAACCTAGCCGAAAGCGGAAGCATGGGCGATAACAGCTCATCGGTTTCGAGTCGACAGACACCTAAATTATGACCGCACATATTCCACTTTGGGGTCTGTTCAAATAGTGTTTTTAAAATATGGTTTGTCTGAGACATGCACTTAAACCCGTCTAAATTACTAGGTAGTGGTACATGGGGACATCTATAACTTCGCAACTGTCTCATTAGGAATATTTCGCTCTCACCTCCAGGGATGTATGCGGTGCATTTTGAAGCAAAGAAAAATATACAGTGCTTGAAATATAATATAGCTATAACCGTATATCAATCAAATCGAAGAAGCAAATCATCCATTGGTGATGAAAGCTCTGGAGGATTAGGATCCATTTCAGATGTGGTGCCGATCCTGACATCGGCTGTGGTGGTGTGTTCGAAGGCCGGTCTGAAGTCTGCAGCTCATCGCGCTGCAGTCCAACTTATGCAACCCGAATATCGCCAAAAAATAGATGTCAAGTACAAAAAGAAGATTGAGGCTTTAGTCAGGTGATGATTATTTAGTATAGTTGAGGAAATATTTCACGATGAATCTATGTAGTCAGATCAGTCAGTTCTCAGGTAGGGTGGAGCTAACCACAAAGATACTGCTCATGGATAAGTCGTTTTTGCGGATCGAAAGTACCCATAAAAGAAGTTTAGTGGTCACGTAGGCTTGGGATGAAATTTCGTCCAGGCCACTCAAGCCATCTATCCCTCGGGAATCGATTTTCGGATCCAACGGGCAGAAGTCTTGATGGAACAGAATGTTCGTAAGACAAAACGCTGACTTGCTTGTCAGCTGGTTCAAGCAAGCCATTGTATTGTAAAAGCCGAAATAGATTCAAACCTGCTCCAATTTCGACTTAACTTAGAACGCGTGGCGCACTTGAAAGGTGCCTTTCCAAAGCTGAATGCTTCATTCTCAATTCAGAAGAGCAGACAAAGCGGATGATGCCGACGAAACTCGCCCTCCATGTCCTCATTGTGCGTATCCAGTACCAGAAACGGTATTGGCATGTGATAATTGTAAATCCACAATACCATACTGTATTATTACGGTGAGCTAAAAATTATTACCTTCCCTATGACAGTTCTATGAACCATGCAATTTCAGGGTCGACATATTGTGGACTCCGATTTTGCTCAGTGCCCATCGTGCAATTTTCCTGGCTATTATTCTGAGTTCAAAAAGTGGGTCATGGATTTCAGTGAAATGTACGCTAGCGGACAAGTAAATTATATTTGCCTGAGTTCCAGATTACTCGCCTTGAATGAAGTTTGTCCAATGTGCTCCTCATCACTGAAGGACGTCATGCCAGCAGACGCTTCCGCTTACCTGAAAAGCGACAAAACTAACTCTGAACAAGTGCCATCTTGAAATTGTTTCATTTCGTTGTAAATAAATGAGATTTTGAAAAATTGACTTGTGATGTACTTCCTGCAAATTTCTTATTTATATAGCGCAACATCAGCAATCGCCACGGATAAGATAGGGTCGCTACGTGCGTGCTTTCGAGTGCAAAATGGGCGCTAAGCTGGTTGCATAGGTTCGCGTTCATAGTCGGCGTTTTCAAATGGGTGACTTAAATGCGGATTTTGCTTGTGATCGTACTCGGTAATTTCTTCGTATAGGGTACTACTTTCGATGACGGGAGTTTGGACACTTCGCGACACAGGCGACAGTGCGAGGACATTGAGCCTGAGCGCGCTTAAAATTGATTGAGAACTGCTTCTGTTTGAGGTGGCGACGAAATGGGGACTTCGCTTGTAGCGCTCTTGCGCTTACACGATCATCGCAACTATGCCACAATTTTGGTGAGTTGGTCAACCTTTAGAGGATACCATTATGCCTTGTTGACAAACTTATCGAATCTGTGCTCCAGATGCGCCACTTATTCAGTGCGTGCCGTAACGCCGACTGCTGCGCGCACGGGTTCTCCTTCCCTCTAAGGGCTCACTCTACTAACGTACGGAGATGTGACTTCGTTGCGGGGAGACGCACTTGTAAGGCTATGCGACTTCAAAAGAAGTTCTTGTTGGTTGTGAAGGAAAAGCGAGAGTAGACATTCAAGTCACTCACAGCACTCGTGACTAACGTTTAGGGAGAGGGAGGGATCCTGTGTGATGATGTAAGCAATTTGTCCTCTCTGCGTTTCTCTTTAACTAGCATAGTATCTTATCGTTTATTTTGAGATGTCTCCCAGAGGCCCATGAGCGGTGTTCTGTTTTCACGTGCTTAGTGCCACGCGCCCATTTACACCATCATCGATGTTGCGTGAGAGAGTAGGCGCGGAAGGCCTCGACGGAAGCACCAAATGCACATGGTATGAGTGCCTGTACTGATAAATGCAGGTAAGGGCTATATAAAGGGGTTATCAGTGGAACGGTTTCTACTTTGTAGGTGTCATTGTGATAGAATGCGGGGGGTGTCGCTGCGCCCGCTCTGTGGATGCACCCTGCGTTGGTAGGTATTTCGGTAGAAAGTGTCGTCTGGCTTACAGTGAGTCCACGTTGCATGTTTGAGTTACCCATGATTCCGTGAACTTCTCAGATGACAACTACACGTCTAACCCTGTATGTCTTCATATCACGAAGTTAAACTCTCAGAACGATTCTCCAAGACAAAGTTACCATCATTCAGGTCCGAAGGCTCGACGTTCTCAACAGTTTTTCACAAGGCACGTCGTCAAGCAACGACCACAGACGACCGGACTTCGTCACAGTTGACGACAGCTTCGCCATCATCACTACCAAGCTCCCAAATGCCACAACCTTCTGCACATGTGAGTCTCATCACCTTTAACTACCACGAAAACTCTAATCTCTCAAGCTGTACTTCCTGTCTCCCCTTTCTAACAATATGCTGTTTCTTGATTTATTGGTATACTATGACTGTTAAGACGTCAATGATAGCTAGAAAAAGTCAAGATGGTGATGTTTTGTTAGGACTGGAGGGCAGATACTCGAACAGAAAGATGCCCCTTGACGTGGTTTGAGTCGATAGGAGCATTCTTTCGGATGTCACACTAGTGCTTTTCTCCAGCCGGAAATCCCCTCCCCTCATGGCATGATGCTGAAGAAGGAAGCGATGTTCCTTGAAAATAGAATTGGCTGATTGATGGGTGGAAGGGGCAATGGAGGATATAGTCCTGCCACGCCTCAGTGACGCTTAAGATTTTTGTACCAGATTTATGGCATTAACATTGCTCCGCCCTCCTGTCATCGTGTTCGCTAGTTTTAATTCTACTTCCAAGCAGCTCGGGTTGTGAATGAGGGTGTCCTAAAAGTAGAGAAGGGTGTTAATATGATCATAGCACTTTATTAGATTGGACCTTATAGAGTTCCTTGTTTTGTTGAAAGCTCGCTTCGCAGCGCTCCCTTATCACAACGCACAGCCAAAGGCGGAGGGTGCTTGGCGAAGGTTTTACCCACCGAGTGGGGGTACTTTTCAATCCCTTCATTATATAAACCAGACTTTGGTGTGTCGGTTTGTCGGTGTGTGTGTGTGTGTGTGTCGTTCTGTCCGTCCGGACCGAACCGCTCACAAAACCAGGGAGTACGAAGGGCAACACTTCGAGATGTTGATGTCATGATCATGATAACACCCACAGCGGCTATATAAACACCGATCGAGCACACTCAGTCTCATTCTACATGGTGCTGCCGTGGCAGCCGGATGAGCGGGGAGGGGGAGGGTGGAGGAGAGGGGTAGAGGGAAGGGGCAAGAAAGGGGAGGCTGGAAGGGAGGGGGAGAGAGAAGAGGGAGGGAAGGGAGAGGAGGGGAAGGGTGAGGGAACATGGCGCTGTCATGCGCCGGAGAGGAGGGTATAGGGAGGGGGAGGTGGGGAAGGACTGAGAGAGAACGACCGTTTTCAAGTAAGGTCTATATTCATGTTGACGTATTATTCTAACCTGATGTGGTGATTGTGATAACACCCACAATGGCTACAAAAACACCGAACGAGCACACTCAGCCTCATTCTACATGGTGCTGCCGGGGGCAGTAGAGGGGAGAGAGGGAGGGAAGGGCAGGGAGAATGTAAAGAGGAAAAGTTACATGGTTGCTGACAGGAGAAGTGGGTTCAGGAGGTATTAAAATAACAGTGAGGTGGAATGGAATAATGTCATGCCCTGCTATGTCGCACGTGGTTTCTCCCACCCTGATGATGCCGCACGTAGCGGGCGGAGCCAAACCCAGTCACGTTATTTGTGCCTGATACCGCCTTATATCGATTTATCAGTCTAGTCTCATTCAATTTCCTTGTTTTATTGGGTGCGTCCTAAACTGTTTTCGGAATCCACGTGTTTGCGATTCCTTCACAGTGCCAACATTTATTCCCTGGAACTCGTCAAACGCACTGGTCCGCCATGCCTAACTCCGTCCTAGGGGTTGGCGAAAAGGCGGTCTATTTGACAGTCCTGGAGAGATCCTTGTTTTTCGTCACTTAACGAACGTTTTGCTTTTGTCAACTATTTTAATGTAGCTGACTAGATAATTTATTTCAGCAAAACGCTAGCAGTAAAGCTCGTATGTTCGGCATGGGAGTATACTATGAGTAAGTTTTAGGTTTACGCCTTCACAAAGTTTCACTTGCACATCTAAGGAAGGGTCGGTCAGAACCGCGCGTCAGGACTTTGACAAAACAATGTTTCACCAGGGGAACCGCGAGGTGCTAGCGTTTGCACCAGCGGACTGAACTATGTATCAGCGAATCGAACGATGTACCAGCAGAGATCGAGCGCGAGATCCTTTTTTTGCATGTTGACTCTCGCCACTTTTCCAGGCTCACGTCAGCGTGAGCGAGCGAGAAGGCATGAAGTCGGGAATTGTTGGGGGAGTCAATTGTCGCGAAAGAGAAGGTCTGTGCATTCGAAACGGCTGCCACCAAATTGCTGGTACATCGAGTACATCGTTCGATCCGCGATCGCTAGCGAATCGCTGGATTCAAATCCGACACCGACCTTTCTGCAGTTAAGCATCGACGCTTTGGCAATGAAGCCATGGAGGTATACTCGATATCCGATAGTTGGGGTAGGCGTGGCACCGGAAGTGACGTGCACTTGATAGAAGTTGCGTGGATAAGCTGTTGCCAGCATACATCGCTGGATATCAGCAAAGCATGCTGGAAACAGCTTATCCACGCAACTTCTATCAAGTACACGTCACTTCCGGTGCCACACCTACCCCAACTTTCGGATATCGACTGTATGTATGTTACATACACGAGAGGCTTATTAGAAATTTTAGAAGAATCTTCCCACGTAACCAACACCACACAATAGATTGAAGCCTATAGAATGCGTCATGGATCTTCAACACATACAGGGGGAAGGCAAAAAAGAATTTTTGCCTACGCCGCGCGCAGCACTTTTCATCGCACAGGGTTCCACCTTTACCGGTTGAAAATATTGTTACACACGATACATTTGATCGTGTAAGGTAAATACCCAACCTGTGCATAAAAATTGATCATCGAGTATAGTGCGTAGGTAATTTCAGAGGAGAGTCGAAGTAGAAGCATGAAAACACTTTTTTAGATCTTATGATCTTCCGACCATCAAAAGTACAGATGACGAGTTGGTTATTCTTGGAGATGGATTGCAGAGCATCTCTGAGGTAATAAAATTCGGACAATAAACAAACAAATACGTAGATAATGGATGGCAATCGCAAATTCTATTTGCCTAGTCTCCATGTAGTTGCAGCTCATGGGTAATTTTGAAGAGCGCTCAATTTTTGTGCCATATTTACCGCTTGGGAGAGAAGCTAGAGGTGAATGTGCCATCGACAGATCCTGCACTAATGCATACCGGTGGCCGTCGCCTTGGGGAACGGTTACTCGCAACTGCACGCGTATGTGTAACTATTGTGCCACTTCGCGCCGCGTAAACTACACGGCCATCAGTAAGGTCAAATTGAGCATAGTTTGGTAGCAAACACTCTGCGTGCAGCGAGCTACTAGTATGACAGGAACAAACGGGAGCTTGTGCCATCGACTCTCTCATATTATAGTGCGAAGTCTTTGGACCTCTGAACCGCCACTTTGGGCTAGCTACCACAAGGCTGGTGTCAGGTCCGCGAATCGCGCGACGGATCGCGGACCTGACACCAGCCTATGGTAACGAGCAGTGGGCATCGCAGAGTGGTTTTGTGGATATTTACGGCTTTTCGGTTTGCAGGTGTGGCTACATCCTTCACCAACATGTGATCAAAAGAAAGACAATCGATCTGTGGAAATGACTATTGGGCAAAAGTCAAGCACTTTCATTGTCACATCTTTAGCAAAGGTGGGTAAGATAGTTTTTGCGAGGTTGATACCGTAGAGGTGCTGTAAGAAGCATATGCTTTCTCGGAATCTCCGGTAAGAGTGGAGTTGG